CATTAACGCCATCTCAGAAAGGCGTAGAGACGTAAAGGCCTTCTAGAGAGGTAGGACTTAACAGAGATGACAACTTTGGGTTTGGAAGTCTAGACTGCCTGGGTTCAAAACCTATCTTTGTCATTCACCAACTCTGACTTTCAGCAAGTTATTTAACCGCTCTATACCTTGTTTTCTTATTTATAAAATGAGAATACTAGTATACATCACAGAGGGTAGTGTGATGATTAAATGAGCTAATAATAGGAAGCACAAGGAGTAACGTCTGGCACATAATAAACTCTTTTTGTGCTCTACTGCTGCTTGGAGAATGTGTGACGGTCAGTATGTGTAGTGCCTGAGAGATTGTGCGTGGTCAGCAGCAGCATACCATAGGTCATCAATTCAACAAATATTTGAACAACATCCTGACGACACTTTTGATTTCAGACTTGTCGTCTCCAGAGTTATGAGACAATTCATTACCCTTGTTATAACTCACCCAGTTTGTGATACTTTGTTATAGCAGCAAAACAAAATAGTAGGTATGCTAAGGAAAATAAAAGGAGGAGGATGTGATAGAGAATAAGAGGGGGAAAGGGTGGGTGGAGTTCCTTCAACTAGGGGATTCAGGTGGGCTTCTGTCAACTACGAAACCGTCAAGTGTGTTAAGCAGACAAGAGACATGGTCTTGCTGGTTTTTTAAAAATGTTTACTGAAGTATAAAATACATAGAGAAAAGGACATAAATCATGAGTGTCCAGCTCAATGAATTTTCGCAAATGAACACACCCGCATAACCAGCACTCAACTCCCCTCCCTCTTGCCACCATCCAGTTGCTACTCATCTCAAGGGTAAACAGTATCTTCTAACACTATAGATTAGTTCGACTGTTTTTGAATTTCATGTAAATGGACTCATACAGTATATACTTTTTGTTGCTGTTTCCTTTTTTTTTGCTTTTTAAATTTAAATTTTGTTTTTGTTTTTGGGGGTAATTAGGTTTATTTAAATTTTTAAATGGAGATACTGGGGGCTGAACCCAGGACCTCATGCATGCTAAGCACATACTCTACCACTGAGCTGTCCTCCCCTAGTATGTACTCTTTTGTTTCTGATTTCTTTTACTCAGTATTATGTTTGTGAGATTCATCCATCTTGTTCATCCGTTCTCAATAATGTGCAGTATTCTTTTGGGTGAATAAATTTAGTAATGTATCCTACTGTTGAGAGACTTTTGGGTAGTTTCCAGTTGGGGCTATTGTGGCTAATACTATGAACGCTCTTGTTTATGTGTTTTGGTGAATATATTTATGTGTTTCTGTTGGGTATGTTCCTAGAGATGGGATTTCTGAGACATATATATTTATTCAGCTTTAGTAGATACTGCCATAACTATGGTTGCCATATTAGAAGGTACTTTTGGGTGCTGAGTAGAAAATAGATGTAGGGGAGGGTAGCAAGAGTGAAAATGGAGACCAAGTATGAGTCAATTGTAAGAGTCCTGGCAAAGGATTACAGTGGCTTTGGCTAGGAGAACAAGTGTGGAGACGGAGAAAAAAATACAAATATGGAGTTCATTATACAGATAAAGCTGACAGGACCTACTGATGGATTGGATGTGGGAGATGAGAGAAAGACTGGAATCAGGGTTGGTGGTTAGGTGTTTGGTTTGAACAGCTAGGTAGACATTTGTGTCAGTTACTGAGACGGGGAAGAGCAGTAAAGTAACAAGTGTGCGGGAGAATCAAAAGCTTTGGTTTGCTCCCATTAAGTTTGAGATGCCAATTAGCTATCTAAGTAGAGATGTCAAATACACAGTTGGTGCTCAGTGAAGATGTCAGGCCTGGAGATTAAAATTTAGGGCCATCAGCATACATATGGTATTTAAAGTCATGAATATGGGTAATACTTCTTAGGGAGAAAGAGCCAGCAGGGGAAATGAAGTCACCATAGAGGCTGGAGGAAAACTGGAAGAACAACTTGCCCTCTGTGTTTTAAAATGGGGAATGGCTAACGTGTTGAGTACCACTTAGAGGTTCAAGTAAGATGAAGAGAGGTGACTACCGGTGTCATCAACATGGAAATCATAAGTAACCTAATAAGAAGTATCTAGTCAGGATGTAGGGTGAGAAAGCCAGACTGGAGTGAATTGGAGTAAATGGGAGATGAGGAAGTAGGTTAAGAGACAATAATATTGTTCAAGAATTCTTGCCATGAAGAGCACAGAAATTGAGAGATATTCAGAGAGGAACCCGAGTTCAAGAGAGGGTTTTTCTCAAGATGGAAGATATTTGTTATGTTTGGAAATCATCCAGCAAAGAAGGGTAAATGTATTCAAAATTTGTAGATACTGACAGGCATATGTAGAATAGATAAACAAGATTATACTGTATAGCACAGGGAAATATATGCAAGATCTTGTGGTGGCTCACAGGGAAAAAATGTGACAATCAATACATGTATGTTCATGTATAACTGAAAAATTGTGCTCTACACTGGAATTTGACACATTTTAAAATGACTATAACTCGATAAAAAATGTTAAAAAAAAGAAGAGTAAATGTAATATAGAAAAAAGAATGAAGAATCACTGGAGCACAGACCTTGAGAAAATGAAAGGGAATGGGATCCAACATACACAAGGAAGAGTTGGTTTTTGATGGGAACAGGAGTGTTTCCTTCAATGAAAGAGAAAAGGTAGAAAGTCTTTACAGGTTGGCAAATGAAGTTGTCATTTGCTTCTATTTTCCCAATCAAGAATGAGCCAAGACAATAAGTTGGGGGCTGGAGGGGAGGGATATTGGAGGTTTAGGAAGATGAGAACATATGATAGTCGTTTGGAGTGTGGGAGAGGAGCCTTGTCAGGAGCATGTAGTAGGATCACAGGCAGTGTTGTGCATCCCTTTGAGTTTTGTGAACTTGAATTTAAAGTGAGACCAGTCATCAGTGATCACGTTTGATTCATAAGCACCCAGGAATGCATAGAGATTGTTAAATATAGTGGTGCCCTCAGCAGTTGTTCCCTGAATAAACAAACAAACGAGTGGACATCACAGAATACAGGGAGGAGGAAGGGAAATAAAAAAGGAGTGTGTATGTCTTCTTACAACTTACTTGAAGAAGACGAAACTAAATTATTTGAGCACAAAGCCGTATTTCAACAACAAGCACAAACATACTACATTTTCAAGTTGAAGCTATTAATTCTGAAAGAAATGCAGGGAAATGACACACTTAAAATAGGATACAGTTAATTTGGGAAAGCATTTCTGAACTTAAGTTCCAGATCAGAGTTCATAAGTTACTAGGGACAAATGTTAACAGAAAGCAGGGGTAAATGGGGGAAAACTGTTAGATGTTAATAAGGAAGATGGGTAGTACGGGCTATGTTGTATGTGGTCTTGAATAAGTGGAAAAGGACTTTGAAAGTGGGAGGTTAACAATGTAAACTAATTATATGGTTTGAGGAGTAACCTCCTCATGATAAGTGCTAATAGGTAGCTTATCTGATCATGGCTACTGTTTATCTAGTGCCTGCCTTGTGTCCAGGCACTGTACTAGTTCTTTTACATATATGTGATTTTCAGTATTCATAAGAACCATACAAAATTACATACTATTTATTAATAATAATTAAAATTCCATTTTACAGATGAGAGTATTGAGACTCAGCATTTCAGTAATTTTCCTAAGATATCCCAGTTAGTAAAGAGCTGAGGTGGGATCTAAAGCCAGGTTTCCCTGATTCCAACAGCCATAGTCAGCCACACTTCATTTAACTGTAGTATTCCCACCATCTCCCTTGTTCTTACAGAGGTGTGCCCAGGATAAAATGTAAGTCAGATGACCTGCCTTTGCACCTAATTCAAATTATTTCCTAACAAGCTTCCCCACCCCACTCCCACCTTGCCCCCACCCCCAGCTCACTAACTAGGCTTTCAATGCCGCTTTCCTTCCCCAGGGCATTTGCCTCTGCTGCACCCATACCTTTGAAGGCTCTTCTCACTCTTCCCAAGCTAACCCCTTTACACCCTTTAGATTTTAGCATAATTGTCACTTCATCTGAGAGGCCTTTCTTGGCCGTTTTATCTAAAATAGACAGACCTCTGGTATTCTCTAGGTCATTTTTTCCCTAACATTTGTCAATCTTTGCAATTATGTTGTCAATTTACTTTCTAGTCTGTTTCTCCAGTAGTGAGTCCCATGAGACCAGAGAACTTGAGTCGTGTTTACTTTTAACTTCCCAGAACTGTGCTGTTCAAAACAGGAGCCACTAGCCACATATGGTTACTAAGTACTGCAAATATGGCTCCTCTGAACTGAGATGCGCAAGTAAGCGCAAAATTCATAATGGATTTCGAAGACTTGGTGTGAGAAAATAATGTACAAGATCTCATTAATATTTTTTATATTGATTACATGATGAAATGATATTTGGATAAATTGCGTTAAATGATTAAAACTAATTTCACTTTTTAATGTGGATACCAGATTTTAACTTACGAAATGACTCATTTTATTTCCAGCCTCTGGGACACTGTCCCAGAGCTTAGTCCATTTTATTGAGTGAAATTACAAATGTTAAGAGAGACAGAATGAGTGAGTTAAGAGATGCAGCCTCTGCCAATGGATACAGCATTGTCCTGTAAGTCAGGAGTCTTGAGTTCTGGTCTTGGATTTACTGGAAACACTCACTGTGTGGCCTCGGACAAGCACTACCCGACTCAGGCATCAATTTGCTTATCCTATCAGGCAGTTGATCTCTGAGATCTCGAAGTGTATGAGAATAAGCGGCTAAGTGGCAGAGAAAGGTGGGGAAGCCTGGTACAACAGGACTTGTCTTCTGTTTGGCTTCGCTCAAGGAGTGGAGGCAGCAGGAATCAGAGAGTAGGCGCCCGGAACCCAGCGCTGGGACCGCCGGCTTCTTCAGGCCGACGTCACTGGGGCGCGACGGCGTCGTTGGTCAGGTCCCCGCTCGAAGGGGCAGCGGCTCCGAACGTCCCTTCGGTGAAGGCGAGTGCCGGTATAACACAGAAGCAAACAGTCCCTTGGAGGCTCACATCCCACCAAACTAACCTCCGCCGCTCTCCCTCTCACTTAAGCCTTATCTGGCCCAGGAGCCGGGAGATAAGAGCCAGACCCGGAGCGTCAAAAGCCAAACCGCAGCCCTCAGCGCGCCTGCGCAGGGTACAAGCTCATCCTAGCCGGAGTCCCGGCGATTGGCTGTGACGTAACTTCCGGCGTGAGCGGCGAAAGCCGGGAGGGCGAGCGAGAGAGAGCAAGCGGGCAGCAGGCAGCAGGTAGCGGGCGGTCGGACGGGCGGTACGAAGGGAGGGAGCGAGCGAGCAGCGAGTGAGCCAGCGAGGGCAGCCGCGTCCCGAGAGCAACCGAGATTCCTCCCGTCCTTCTGACCCCCTTCCCGGAGCCCACAGCGCCTCCGGTCTCCAGCGGAGCGGACACGGCCCGGCCCGGCCATGGCCTCGTTGCTGAAGGTGGATCAGGAAGTGAAGCTCAAGGTAGCAGCACCGGTCCGGCCTTCCTTACCCCTCGCTTCTATTCCCGAGCAGTCTGATCGGTTGCCTACTCCCCATGGCGTCTTTGTCTCCCTGGGTACACCAGCCTTGAGCTTCCGTTCAGCTCAGCCCAGCCCCCAACTCCCGGAGACGGCATCGGGGGAGAGGATGACATGGGGGTGGCCTTCTGTACCCCGTCTGATGGTGGAGAGCCCAGGGGAGACTTCTGCGGACACGTGGTGGACTCAATGCTTTAGACCAGCAACAGCTGGAAGTCCCCCAGCCCAGCAACATCCCAGCCTCCGGACGCTGCTACTGCCCCTGCCCTTAGCATAGGGCCTGCCTCGTATCTTAGGCCAGGTTTGGATGGAGGTTGACAACGTTTATGAGCTCACGCATTACCCGCCCCCACATCTACCTGTCTTTTGTCTATGCTCAAGTTCAGACAGCTTCAGACACAGGGAGGGAGGGAGGGAGGAAAGGAAGACAGGCGGGTGCTGCCCTCAAGCCCCGCTTCCCTCCCTCTCCTGAGATGGAGAAATGGATCCTAAAAAAAATTAAGTATTTGCAGTCTGGGGGCCTCTCTGCTTCTCATTACAATTACAAAGTAAGGGAAAGACAGCTGGATTTAGGGTTCCCCATCTTGCCCTTACTTCTGTTGCCAGGTACTGACTTGCACTTACTGAATTGTTTTCTTTGTTAATTTTAGGTTGATTCTTTCAGGGAGCGGATCACAAGTGAGGTGAGTGAAATAAACATAAAAATGAGCGTTGGTTAATAGTTGGGAGTTCCCCAGAGAAGAAATACCTGTTGAGACAGACTTTCCCACAATTACTAATTCAGCTGTATTTACCCTCGTCTTTAGGCAGAAGACTTGGTGGCAAATTTTTTCCCAAAGAAATTGTTAGAACTTGATAGTTTTTTGAAGGTGAGAGACCCTTTTCTTTTCCTCAAATTCCCCAATTTTTTTGGCCCTGATCTTTCTGTCAAATGGGACAAATCACGTGTTGATTGTATTTTGTTTTGTAATGTGAAGCACTTTCATTTCTTGCCCTTCAAATGAAATACTTCTTTGTTCCTCTTGAAAAGACTAATGTTTTTGGGGTGGGCGTCTCTCTTACAGGAACCAATCCTAAACATCCATGACCTAACTCAGATCCACTCAGACATGAATCTCCCAGTCCCTGACCCCATTCTTCTCACCAATAGCCATGATGGACTGGACGGTGTAAGTGTCGTCTATTTATCTTTGTGTTTTGAAGCAATAGGTCCTCTATTTCTTGGTCAGTTTGAACATATACAGAGGAAACAGTGGGATTTGGATCTGAGAATGAGGGTTCTTATAGACATTAGGACTCCAGTACACTCCCTTTAGACCCTGATTTTCATTTATAGAATGAGGTGAATATGTTAATACTACTCTGTTAGAATGAGTTTAAAAATAGAATTGATACAGGTTCCCTCAGGTTATCTGGTCTGTCCACATGGCTCTAAGCAAGGCTTTTCTCACCTGTTTCAATGTCTTGAATCTTTTTATGGGATGAACAGTTCTTGTTGTATAACTCCAGTGCCTATCTTTGTGTTTCTTTAGCACTCAAGTCTTCATCAGTTATATGTCCACATTCTGTTATAGCATTGATTATACTTTTGTTTCATTGATAGAACTTGCAGTTCTGGAAAGCAGAAACTGTCTTGTCTTTTCCTTGTTATCTCCAGCACCTAGCATTGTTCCTAGTAAAGAGCAGGTGCTGAACACATGTTTGCTGATTGAATATTCTATTTCTTTGCTAAACCAGCAGATTTGAATATAGTCCCTTAATTATCCTCACTCTGCATTAAATGGTTCATTTTTCCTATTGTTTATAATATCCTCCACTGCCTCTAATTGCTTAATGTGTTATATTTCTTGAAAGGTTGGTCTTCCCAACTAGAGTGTAAGTTGCTTTGTGGCAAGAACCTTTTCTTAAAGCCTTGTATGTGCTTAAGAAATAGTGCATAAGTTAATAAGACAACATATGGGGTCGAAGAACGGATTAGACTTGCTTGAAGGGTAACTTGTGATGGGGATGTCGATGCTGAGCAGGGTAATTCCTATTTGTGTCCTTAGCCCACTTACAAGAAGCGAAGGTTGGATGAATGTGAAGAGGCCTTCCAAGGTAAGAGCTATCCCCACTATCCCCCACCCTGACCTTTCCTGACTTGCAGGCCTGAGACACAGTATGGATCTTGTGTTCTCCTGGCCAGGAAGCAGGATCTAATTTTATTTCCCAGAGTTAGCATTCCCGAGTCCTCCAGTCATGGTCATTATTTAGCACTCTAAACCTAGTTTTCCAATTAATGGAGGGTTTAACTTGTGTGGACTGCCAAGGGAGAGCAGTTGGCATTGGCTACACATCAGATTTTTCACAGAAGCCCCAGTTCCATGTCATTTTTTACTCTTCAAAAGTAGTTGGTACATTACCTCTGTAGAGCATATTTTAATTTCCTTATTCTTCAGACTTTTGGGATACTTCAGACACTCAAATGTTAGTCTATATGTTCTCCCTTTTTGATTCTGTTGGTGGTGTCATGATTTATAGGTAGGGTTTGATAGATAAAAGGCAGAGGTCACAGCAACTCATAGGTCTGAGAAAGAGAGGTGGGGAGTGCTATATTCTGCTACCTGCCCCCCACCCCGAAATCATTTGACCTTCTTCACGTCCCCACAAGGAACTAAGGTGTTTGTGATGCCCAACGGGATGCTGAAAAGCAACCAGCAGCTGGTGGACATCATTGAGAAAGTGAAGCCTGAGATCCGGCTGCTGATCGAGAAATGCAATACGGTAAGGCAGGGACTAGTGACCTATGGGTTGACCCCAGATAGCCTGCTTGAACTACAAAGAATGACAGATGTGGGGCTGGAGGCATGGAGTGGATGTGGAAGTTGGCAGGCTAAGTATTTTGGCTCCTGTACCCCTGGCGTCTGGCCCTAGCAGCATGAATTGTATACTTCGTGGCTTCAGCAGAAAAAGCCATGGTCCTCATATATATATATATATATATTGATCCCCTCATCCTCCAGGTCAAAATGTGGGTACAGCTCCTGATTCCTAGGATAGAAGATGGGAACAACTTTGGGGTGTCCATTCAGGTAATGTGCCTGCATTAGAAACTGTGGAAGGTTTGGGAGATAATCTCATCTCCCATTTTCTATTTTCCCTTTCTCTTTGGTCTGCTGTGCAATAACGTGAAAGTGATTTTTGATTTACTTGTTTTTTTCAGGAGGAGACAGTTGCAGAACTAAGAACTGTTGAGAGTGAAGCTGCATCTTATCTGGACCAGATTTCTAGGTAGGGCTGCTTGGGCCTGGCTCAGGAATTGGGGGCTGGTAAGGTGGTAAGCACTGCCAGGGGTCCCCTGCAGCTTCCTCCTCTTCTCTCTCCTTCCAGATATTATATTACAAGAGCCAAATTGGTTTCTAAAATAGCTAAATATCCCCATGTGGTAAGTAAGGGTTTTGTGGCCTGAGGGTGGAAGTGGTAGGGCAGGGAGGAGTGACTGTTTCTGGAAAGAGCTGTGTGGGGACAGTCAGAACATGGGGACGAGCCTTTTCTCTGCCCCTCCTCTCAGGAGGACTATCGCCGCACAGTGACAGAGATTGATGAGAAAGAATATATCAGCCTTCGGCTCATCATATCAGAGCTAAGGAATCAATATGTAAGTAACCTTGGTCCCTGCCTGCAGTTATTCTGGCTTCTCTTAGTTCTGGTAATCATTTTCTTGCCACTCTGTGGGTCGAGACAGAGTGTGGCGGTAAAATGAGTGGAACAAATTCTGCCCATCAACTGAGTGTTGAGAACTATGAGATCATTGAAGGTACCTAGCCGGGTATCTCCTTTCTTTCTACCTGGATGGGAGGGAGTGCAGTACAGTATAGGGGTGAAGGTGTGGGTGTCAGACTTAGGTTTAGAACCAACTCTACCTGTAATGTGGCTTTGGGCAAGTTTAACCTCAAACTTCAGTTTCTTCATCTCTAAAATGGAACTTAAGAGTAGCACAAAGATTGGTTTTTAAAAATGAGTGAGATTACATATGAGAGGACCCAGTGCAATTTTTTAATGTTAAGTGCTTAATAAATGTTAGTTATTAGACACTTGGGTCTGGAAGATACCCAGGTGTGCTCAGATTTGGAGTATAAGAGGCAGGAAGGCAGCCACCCTTAATTCAAGTTCAGGTGAGTGAGATCAGGGTTATGTGGATGATTGCTTGGGGATTCATGGGGATGTCTCATTTCCCTAGCAAGGTAGGGGTAGAACAGATGTGTGATTCTCTGATTCTTCTCCTAGGTCACTCTACATGACATGATCCTGAAAAATATTGAGAAGATCAAACGGCCCCGGAGCAGCAATGCAGAGACACTGTACTGAGGCCAGGGCCAGGGCCAGGGGACTCTGTGAGTCTGGCTCAAGACCGACATTGCCTTGGTTTGTTACATGACTATCGTGATGGGGAAACTGGCTGGAAATAGTAATCACACCTCTCTCTGTTTTTAGTTAGAGTCTAATGAAACTCTCATGTAGTTCTGTGACGTGTTTACCTCTTTTTTCAGGCCTCAGGAACTCCTCTATTTCCTCCCCTAACACCCCACGCCCCACCTGCCCTAATTTCTGGAGAACTCCAGGTTTGTGTGTGCAGGATGTTGGCACAAGAATACTTGTGTTTTCTCTCCTGCCTCCCTCCTGTGTCTTGGGCATTGTGTTTTCTTCCTTTTGGTGATTAGTTGGTTAGAAGCTGAGGGGACTGGAGGGAAAGTGCTAGATGTTTTGTAGGAACTGGAGCGGGGTTGGGGGGGACCAGCTCCTCTCTTCTTCGTGAAAGTTTAGTGTCTCTTGCACTGTGGGACATTGGATCCTCCCTGCCACAGTTGCCCTGGTGGTCACTTAGGGTTCCCCATCTACGTACGTTCCACCTTGACCCTGATCATGACAAGAAACACCTTAGACCTTTGGCCAAGTCTCTAGCTCCTTCAGAAGTTTTTATAATGGATTTTCACATACACATATATGTGTCTAACACACACACACACACACACACACCCATTCAGAAGGTGATAGTTGTCCATGTCCTCAATCCACCAGAGCCTATTGTCTCCTAATATTGTAGCCTCTTGGTGCCTGAGACCGGGGAGTTGGAGGAGAGCTAAGAGATGAGAAGCACAGGGACTGGGGAAGCCTCCTTCCTCTATGACTTGGGTCCTTTTGGGCGTTATTGCAAAGGCTGGTCCTCTGACTCCTGGGTGCCTCCTCCCAGGCCAGACGTAAATTGGGTTAGAGGTGTCTGCAGCTGTGAGAACCAA